CCGCGTGGCACCTATGGAAGCAAATGAACGCAAGAGTGTTAAATAGGAATGGCCAAGTTAGATCGGACGCGAGCCTAGTGCAACAAATTTTTTAGGAGATCAAACTTTGGAAGTTGGCGGGAGTAGGTGTCGAGGGATTAGCTAGATTTGTGAGAGAGTGGGCTTTTTACTTTTCGCGGAGTCGGAGGTCCTGTGTAGACGTTCGTCGTCTTGCACGGTCTTTTGTAATCAATATTTCTCTCTTCTATAAAAATAGTACACCTTTGAGTACTCTTGAAAAAAAGTCTAAGTTTTAATCAAATTCCTTTCCGCCTAATCTATCTGGAGAGATAATCCACAAAAATCAAATATGATACAGAAGTATTCGCAATCCCAATAATGGTGAACAAATTAATAAAAAAAGGAAAATGGAATGGTCATGCAATATTTTGATTGAAGATCCAGTTTGGCCTATCCTGAAATATTTCTTCCGATCTCCCAATCACATGGAAAATATTTATTTCGGAATCCAAAGCTATCTATAGGCATGTCAATTTTATTCTCATCCCAATATCAGCGGGATGACATTTAGCTTTCTTGCATTTTAGGTCAACTGTGGACCAGGTTAAATGCTAATTGGAGATAGCACATTGCTATTGTTTAATACAGTACAATTATTTAAATAATCAATTCAGAGGCGACAACCACTCGCAGCCCTACCACAAATCAGCCGCAGCATCCAAACGATGTACACTCCAGCACAAAAATTAGAGAAATACAATGGTCCATACTTATACAAGTTTATTTACACTAGCAATGATGACCAGGCACTATAAATTACATAGGTCATTCGAAAAAGCATGCCACCGACAAAATCTAACTAAAGTATCACACAACAACTCTGTTTCTTATCAGAGTGACTGAGGTGAAGCAGGGCTCGCTGCTCAGTAGTAGGAGCAGTAACGCTTCACAAAGCTCCCTTGGTGATGGCCAAAACGGAATCCTCCTCGGAAGGGATGCAGCACATCGGCGTCAAGATAGCACATTTCACATACCCTCTCCACCTTGCTGTCTTCACATCCACATTTCCTCGTCAGACCAGCATGTGGGACATGGAATCGACGGTAGCATGTCTTGCAAACACAGTCCGCTGAAAACGCAGGCCAAACAACAAAGAAAGAGACGATGTAAGAGAGCGATTGGACAGTGCAACTTGATCTGTATATGCATTCAGAGAGAGACATACATTCACCATTACGCCGGGTGCCCCGTCCAAGAGGGATGCCAAGGAAAACGTAGGCTTCAGTAACTGGTTCATCTGAAAATACCATTAAGGAAAATACCATCAATTATCCCTTTCGTAAAATATGTGCATCGTGCCTCTAAGCATGATATAATGCCCAATTCTATGTGCAAAGAGCACACATATAAGGTTAGGCAAAGATGAATAAACAGGCAAGGGAACATCTAAATTACTGGAAACAGTTCAAGAGGGAAGACACACGGTAAACAAAGTTTGATCATTCCCTCTGCTGCTCAACTGATAATGAAATAAGCAATGCAAGATAAGTATGAGACTACAGACTTGAGAACGTAGAATTGCTATAGGAGCTGGAGTGATCAGTCATTAAGTAGGCAATCCAGACTGAAATGACTTAACGAGGTAGAAGAGGGAACCAAAGTGCTATGAATCCTGGTTGGCTGAGGCAAGTGAGGAGACTTAAACTTTCAGTAGGAAGGGTAATACAAAGATCATTTGAATCAAGGAAGAGAATAATATATAGTCTGTTCATTTTTTCACATTGTTGCTTTGAAATATTCAGGTAATTAGTGTGAAGGTCTAAGAGGTAATCTAAGGAAGATGGACCAGATTACAGAAGACAAATATGGAGAACAAAAGGGAGAAACAGAGGAATTTATATTGCTATTATCTGTACTGTCTTATTGCCAAAACAAACCAGATAAATGCATAGAATACATTGGAAGGGGAAACACAGAAGCATGTGTATAGTATTTACAGTAAAATTAGCTGCACAGATAAACTTCTCAAACCATTATAGGCGCACAAAGATTGAAATGAAGTAGAATATATATTTCTGGTAGAAGAATGAGCACATGATGCAATATTTTAAAACAACTGACACACAGAAAATTATGGTCAAAACCAGAAAATAGCAACAACAAAAAAACATAACTACTCACCCTCGTAAAAGCATGGGCCACTCATTCTTACTTCACAATTGGATCATGAACCTCACAAATTTACAAAGTCAAAGGCAATCTAAAGAAATTTCAAACAATTGGTTTCCAGAGGGCTTCCTTTGTAGAGTGGTACATTAACTGTGTCTATTAAGGTGAAATGCTGGGCACTAGCAATAGACCTCTCCAGATGATGAAAACCCAATGGTTCTTTAAAGTACATATGGTGCATGCCATGGCAACAGAGAGGTAAGGGTGCATCAAGCTTGCAAGTAGATACCAACCTAGGGGGATGCATGTGAGAACTTCATCGTCATCACCTCTATCAATGAGCTCAAAAAAGAAGAGAGTTCGCGGAGCGGGCAGGAAGGAGAAGCAGCCAGAGCGCTTCCGACGAGCCACAAAGTTACCATGAGTCCAAAAACCGTAATTGTCAAGCTTGCCGCGTCTGGTCACCTTACCAGGAGCAGGTTCGTACTCATCGCCCTAATCAGCCAAAACAGACCAAAGAAGCATCAATGACTGACTTCACTTAATTACTACAACCTTCTATACGCACATTTATTATAATTATCGCTGCGCGAAATCCGTTAGAAAATGTAATGATATAAAAGTAATTTTCATGACAAACCACTAGGATGTACAATGCAAGGTGCTTAGGCAGTGCTAGTAAGAATAAACCGATTTTTGCTTAAGCACCAGTGCTTTTTCATATTGCAGAGGCGCTTATACAAATAAGTGCCGGTGGTTAAGAAAAAAAGGGTTCCTTTTCATAAGCACCTTGCATTGTTAGGCCGAATATAATTTCCAACTTCCAAGTGTCAGCTTTCTATGCATTACTGATCAATGTTTTCTAAGGTTTTCAGAAGCTAATTGCAAGTAAAATTTGATCGAGTGAGGAAGAACGTATCACCGGATGGGTGGAGTTGTACAGCTCAAGGCATTGCAGCACAGTCTCGTGATTCAGAGCTTTAATCTCCGACCGTGACATCTTAGGCCTAGCATACATACAACATATAGCAAATATTGAGACGGACGGGGTGGGGGCACGCAGATCAATGAATCGATCGAATCGGAAAAGGAGGGGCCGTCGACTAATTACCTGAAGTCGGGGGGAGGATGGAGAGGAGGCGAACGGAGCAGCAGCCGCAGCCAGTTGCACGCGCGGCGGCGGCCAAGCGCCGCCCTCCTTGACTTTGCTTTCTCATCCTCATCAGCCAGACCAGGCAGCACGAAAGGCCTAGCCATTGGTTTGGGTTCAAGGAGGCGACGAGAGTCCTCCGATGCGGCAGCGGCGGCACTGTAGTTGGTCTTGGTCGCCATGTCGTCGGATTCCTCAGACCGCGCGTCCTTGGCCTTCTTAGCACGCGCACCTGCCTCGTAGCACCCAGGCGGCGCTGGTCCGACTCCGACGAGGTGTCGAGTCTCCTCCATCGCCGCGGCCACTGCGGCTACGAGCCGATCCAGTCACAGTCACGGTTGGGGAGGGGGTCAGCTCCGATTGCTTCTTCCCTAAATCGCCCCGAGCCCCCGACTCTGTCCCTCTATTTCTCCCGGCCATGGGACAAATGTTTTTCCTAGGAAAAAGGTTATTTGCCGAACGTTCTCTGGGGTGGGATCCCAGCGAACGCCCCTAGAGCCGTCTGATCTTGATCCGACGGTGGCAGTTTTTGCCAAAAACTCCCTGCAAATTAAACAAACTGTTATGGCAGTTTTATGAAGGGAAACGTTGGCTTCCGGTCGACCGGCTAACGGTTTGGGCCGGTCCAGTGCGCGACGTTCGATCGCCCCCGATCCAGCCAACTCCACGCAAGCCACGTGTCCTTTGATGCCCCCGCAGCTGTCCTCCTGCTCCTACCCCTTATCCTTTCCCGTGGACTCCCAGCCACATCTTCTTTCTTCCCTCTCCTTCTTCAACCTCCCGCCTGCCCCATCAAACTGACCCGTTGCTCCTCTTCCCTTTTTCTACAGCAGCCACAGATGCAGGCCCGTACGGCGCACCTGTGCAGAGTGTTCGACTGCACAGGGCCCCCAAATTGACAGGGCCCCAAATTTTCTAGAGCATTGATGACTAGTTTAGGTGTGGGTAATCAACACATCAACAAATACACGTTGGAACCTGGAACGGAATAACTCCAAGGCGGAGGCCCAGTCTCACGACGTCTCCTCCTCTTCTCTCTCCGTTCTCTTTCACTTCTAGCTCAAATCCCTTTCTCTCCCCATGGTCCAATCACACCACCAAAGGTCTCGATTCTATTCCATTCCAGTGGACCAATTCCTTCGTATTTCCCCCAAAACTAATCTCTGTATTCAATGAGTTGGTATTGTTCTACCCTCTGTCCATCTATTTATTCGGTTTCTCATTTCTCTCATCTTCTCACACATCTTCGCTGCTTCTTTCAGTCCCATTGTTGCTTGTTGCTGGTCCTGCGACCTGGGTGCATTGATCGGAGTTGGAGGTATGCCACAAGCGCTAGGTTGCCGATTAACCAAGACGAGGAACCGGAAGACCCTAGCCATGTTGCCACCAAATGGTGTTCCTTCCAAATAAATCAAAGGTTGTTTCATCAATTTTCGTTTCTATATTAAGTTTTAATGCATGATATTTGCATCCTATTTTTTTATTTCTGAAAGTATTATAGTTCTATAATTACGAATCTTGAGTCAATTTATGAAAAACCTAAGAAAAAGAAAAAAACAAAATTCGACCTTGAAAATGTGCTCTTGATAAGTTTTTACCAAAAGGATCAAAGTTTCTTGTGAAAATCAGAGTGCAGATACAAGCTTTATTTGTCTTTTTTTAGACAAACAAGCTTTATTTTTCTGATTGCCATTTGTTATGTCGAGGGCCTAATTTTTGATTTCGCACCGGGCCTCCATTTTCTCGGGTATGGCCCTGCACAGATGGTGGTGCTTCCTTCCTTTTTTTCTATCCTGCGAAACCACCATGAGCGGTGCTACTAAAGGCATCATGTGCTACTCATTTTTCTCTCGAGGAGCCACCGCAAGGGTGGTTGGTCCCTGCACACGCGCGCCACCGCGACTGCCCAAACACCAGTGCTGCGCGCGGCGACGACGTGCACTACGAGTTTCTCCGCGCGTGGGCTGCTGCATGGTCTGAGCAGCACCACACCCCTGCTACAACCGGTGTCGCGTGTTGCTACCACGGGCGTCGGACTTTGCTACAACCGCCATCGTGTTTTGCTACAACGCAAAAAAACTGGTGTCGCCCTCTTCTTTGCTAGAACCAGCGCCCCCGTTCTACAACCGGCTTCAATTTTTGCTACAATCGACGCTGCGGTTCGCTACAACGAGCGTCGTGTTTTGCTACAATGCAGAAACCGGCATCATGTTTCTTGCTACAATCGGTCACTGCCCTGCTACAACCAGCTTCATTTTTTGCTACAACGGGTGTCGTGGTTTGGTGCAATCGGCACCTCGATTTGCTACAAACGGCGTCTTTTCTGCAAATCGTTGGTGTGTTTTTGCTACAATCACTTCTCAGCCAGCTACAACCAGTGTCGAGTTATGCTACAACCGACTAAATCGGCGGCGTGGTTTGCTACACACCGTGCTATAACGGAGGCGGCTAGGGGCTGCGACGATGACGACCAAACGATGCCAAGGACGACGGCGCCGTGCTGCAACAGATGCGGCCAGGGCTGTGATGACGACGACCTCGCGCCAATCATCACCATGAATGATTGTAGCAATTTTCCAGCACCGGTTGTAGCAAAAGCAGACGTCGGTTCCAGCAAAATCGCCGTCGCCACCATCACGGATCATTGCATTGTCATGAATGGTTGTAGCAAATGTCATCACCGGTGGTAGCAAAAGTCAACGACGGCTACAACAAGCCTTCGTCAATGCCGTAGTAGATTGTTGCATCGCCATGAATGATTGTAGCAACTGTTGTCGCTGGTCGTAGCAAAAGCCGATGACGGTTGCAACAAATGGTTGTCGTTGTTGTTGCCAATGCAGCATCCCCACGAATGGTTTTAGCAATTGTTGTCGTCGATCGTAGCAAAAGCCATAAACGGTTGCAGCACCGAGGCTCGCCAGTTGTAGCTTCGACCGTGGGCTGATGAAGGAGCAAGGGATGGGTGGGCACGGCCATGATGACCGGCGTGCTCGCATGGCTGGTTTGGGGTGCTGGTTGTGGGGATAGTCGGATAGAGAAGAAAAGTTTGACGAGCGAGAGAGCGGAGAGAAGCTGGTGCTAGCTCCTCGGGCGCACAAGGCGCCCCTGCGTTGGTCTTTTTTTCGATGCACATGTAAAAGATACGAAGTGGAAACATGAGTCTTTTTTTTCGATACACATGTACAAAGATGCAAAGAGAAGAATGAGCAAGCACGTCAAGTCTTTTTTTAATACACACGTACGAACATGCAAAGAGAACGAGCAACTATAGATAATATTTTTTCCGATGCACTAGTACGATAAGAGCAGCGAGTCTTCCTTTTCTTTTATATATACGCACGTGCAAAACATTGGAAGACAAACAAACGAACGGAGTAGTGGCAGGCGCGCTAGGTGACCGGCCGAAAATTCAGCCGGTGCGCCGGCGCCTAGCGTTGGCCTTTTATAAAACGACAATGCTAAAATCCTGCCGACTGGTGGTTTGCTACAGATCTGCACGACTCGCGAGTCGTTGGATCTGGATCGCATGATCACGATTTTTAACGGAAACTAACTGCTCCTTCCCGAAATCATGCTGATTATAACCTGCCCGCCCGCACTTTCCTTTTTTTCGCAGGTGCTAATAACTATCCAAAAATAGAGCAGGTTGGGCAAGAAAAATTGCATGCGGGGGGCTTGAACTCAGAACCTGTAACATGTAGGTAAGGATGACCTTAATCCACTAACCACTCCACACTGTGTATGTACATGTTAAGTTTGATAAAGCTAAACTATTTCATCATGATATTTAGTACCGCATCTCCTATTAAACATACATTTCCCTTTTTTAATTCCATGAGTTTTCTCTAGTTTATCTTTGTTGTTCCACTTTATGATGAAAATAGGTATCTCCGCCAACACCTGGATGATGGTGTGGATGATTTTGATGATGTGATCAACGATTCTTCTAAAGAATATTCAGTCCGAGAGGTAGGAGATGTTGACGAAGAGAAGGTGGTAGGTCGTCTCTGAAAGCCGATAATTTTTGGGCCACAAACGTGATAATTTACGTACAAACACCGTGATAATTTTAGCCCGAGGCGAAAGAAGTTGTTGAAATATACCAACCGGTAATCTCTATGTAAATAGCCTGGTAATTTATGCACCGCGGGCCTGATAACTTACATGCAAACATGATGATAACTTCTAAACTAGAAAAAGTTGATGAAATATACCCCAGTAATTCCTCTGTGAATATCATG